TGGACAAACAAGGCTTCACATTATATTTGTAATCCTCAATAGAGCTAGTTGTTGAACCGTTTTGTGTGCCGCAGCTCAGTGTGCCTCTTGGTGAGGAGTAGAAGGCCGGAACAAAAACGCGATGTCATCTGGGAAGGAGCTGTTTGGGGGGCAATCAAGTAGGTGCAAGCGCGCCTTCCTTGAAGGTTAATTTGGAAAATAAATGGCATATTTATACTGTTTTCCTCCAAATCAAAAATGAAAAAAGTAAAATCCTTTCTCCTAATATTTGGTTGAGTCAATGTTTTGTCATCTAATAAGCTTTCAAAGGCATCAATTTATTTATTATTCAAACTGGACTTCCTGGATGGCATCACTCGTCACCATTGCTTGAAGCCCCCCCCCACACCGAAGCAGATCGTTGCATACAAATGTTGCAAGGGTCAGATTAATCAATAAACTAATAAATTAATCATTTGAGCAAGGTTCCGTACCGCTGCTTGTATCACGTTTGATTAACTGTTTTTTTAAGATCTATATTTTGTTTGCAAAAGTACTAAAACTCTGAGAACTAACCCTAAACCTTTTTTTTTCCATTCCAATCCCTAACCTTGATTTAAAATCTTAATTTGACAAACGTTGTAGTTGAAGGGTGTTTAGTTTTAAATGCTGCTTCAGGTGTCCTATGAAGAGCTACCAGTGCACATGATCAACAACTGATTAAAGAACGTATGCATGTCAGCTCTACAAAGAAAACCTTAGCTTTAAATAATGTTGTAACCGACAAAAACCCTTTTTTGGTGGCTGACCAGACAGTGCAGTTTGCCAAAACTGTAGCATTAATCATTTGCTCGTTGATGTTAACATTAAAGACCTCAACGGCAGCAAAAGCGAGGTGCGTATTGATGCGTGCTGCACAGTGACTGAGGGATACTTAAGACGAGAAAAGCAGAGCCAGAGAGTAAACTATCCATCCTGCAGAAATAGCCTGTGATGTTTCAAACAGCCAGATAACAAGCGGCCTGTTGTCTAAGGTCCAGGGCCAGAAGATGGAGGGGAGCTGAAAGGGGAGCTCTCTCTCTCTCCTTTAAAGGGAACTTCTCGGGGTGGAAGGAGGGAGCTGCAGCCCTCCCTGTAAACAGTCTCCAGGCAAGAGGAGCTATTAAATGAAGGAACAAATGGCACTGATCGGACCTCACATCATCGACCACTGATGGATCAGCGCAACAGGAGAGGCGGGAGAAAGCTGACATCAGCTCTAGAAAGTGGGGGCCGTTTGGGCGTATGGGGGGGTTAATGCATGGGTGATGTCTGGTAGCGCTGGGCATTTGAGACAGATTATTGGGAGATGTATGTAGTCAGCAAAAGTGAGTAAATCCACCAGTGCACTTCTTTTTTTTCGTTTTTTGGAGCCAGATGATTTTTTTTTCCAGGAAGCAGGAGGGAGGTTCGTAGAAGACATTTGGAACTCAGCCAGCGTACAACATCTCCCTCAAGTCAAAAAGCACACCTGTGCAGATCAATTTGAACATGAGGTTTCATTTAGGTTGAGGTAAAAAAAAAAAAAAAAAAAGGAGACTTCCCCGCACGCAGCCGTGCACACGCCCAGCGGAGGCTACCGAGGTCTGTGCTGAGTGGAGATAAAAGTGCAGCCAGCGTGAGGTCAGCGGGCCGACGGATGTAGTGTTGACCAGAAGTTGAAGGAGACACACAGAGGGCAAGAGCCCCGGAAAATGACATACTTAGTCGAGTGAAAAGATTGGAGCTAATGCTGAAAGATGGATGAATAGCACATCGGCTAATTGGCTCAGTGTCTCTCCCCCCCCTTCTCCCACGGGGTTTTATCGATCCCCATGGGGCTCTTTCAGGTTTCCCGGTAACCAAGACCACAAAACAGCGGGGGGGTGGGGGGGGGGGGCGCGGAGGCGCGGCACACAGATCCTTGGAGTGCAGAGATGTAAAGTGCTGGATGGAACCGGCGGGTTTCAGGGGCAGCCATGTGCACCGGGCTGAATTATTCATGCTGATTACACATTTCTTATTGAAATGAATTTGCGAGTTCAACACGTGTTCCCCCGGCATCGCCACTTAGGAAGCTGGCTTAATTGGAGCTGGGTCTGTGTGTGTGTGTGTGGGGGGGGGGTGTCAGTGTGTGCTTTTGGCAAGTTTTGGGGCGTGGTGATAGAAAGTAACTAATTACATTTAGAGTTTGTTGAATATTTTCCGATATATATCAAACACAAATACAATACATAATGTACTTTCGACAGATTAACAAAGCAGCATCTACTTGAGGCTCCTTCGTATGTTTCGGATGATAAGAGGTTTTAGTAGGTCCACCAAAAAGAGAATTCCACTGTAAACTTTGAGAGATGCTTCATTTAACTGCTCATGTCGCACCCTAATTATTTGGATCCATCTTCTGACCTTATACTCAGAAGTGAGTGTATTAAAGTACTTCTACTCACCAGCTACAACAGGAAAATGCTATAGTATTCTAATTATGAATAAGTGACTACACAAGAAAGAGAAGTTTTACTTCTGATGCTCATCAAGATGAACACGTGAGCGTGGAAGATTTTTTACTCTCGCTGTCTGAAGCGGAGTATAGTTGTCGCACAGCTACAGCAAGTGCACAGGTGTCTAAATATGTGCACAGGGATATTATCTCTGACAAATTATCAAATTCAACAGTATGTGGGTGCAGGCGCTCATGGTCACGTGTGCCGGTTTACTCTTTTTTCTATAAAAAAAGGATGGAGAAAAAAGGCCTCTCGTCGCTACGTTCTGTATGTGACACATGGAGCACGGCAGCGCGCGGCATAATGAGGAGGATGAGGACGTTCGTCTGCTCGCATTTAGATTCACCGGTCCTCGTCCCCTCCTCTCTATCATTTCATCCATCTTAGTTTGACTAAATATACACACAAAACCGCCCCAACATCCATCTCAATTGTCGAGGCGTTCTCCATCCTTTTCTCTCTCCAAAAACCTCCCCTCCTCCGCTCCACAAGCCGCCCACTCTCCTTGTCTCTCTGCGCTGCGCCGACCCCTCCCTCACCCTCAATCCTCCCCTTCCCTCCCTCCCCGGGGGGGACCAACATCCAGACCTAGGAAAACGTATGGACGTGATTCTAAACATCTAAATATTTTCCAAACCCCTTAAAACATTGTACATTTTTCCGTTTTTTCCCAATTCTAAACATCCTCCGTTATTTTTGGGCTGCCCTGACTCGGCCTTACCGTCTCTTTCGCCCGCTACACCTTCGCTTGTTTGTCTCTTTCCATGTAAGACAAACTTGAAAATAATTGGCACACACACACTCATACATTTCTTTCTGTGTGGGAATAAACTACGCATGAAGAGGAAGGGGGCGCAGAGGGAGGCAATCTTGTTACCAGCCGGCATAGCCCTGGGAAGATTTCTATCAGACACACGTATAGAGAGAGGCATCCATTTAGAAAATAGCTTTTCTAGGCATGCTGGGCCATTTAGCGCACCCTGTGACGACTCCTGTTTGGGGCCATGATAAATGTTCTTTCACACCCGCTCTGTGCACTTTGTCAGGACAGCGCGCGCACACATACACACACACGCGCGCACACGCAGCCATATGGGCATCCAACACAAGGCACAACTTGAGGAGACTTTGTATTTTTGGAGGGACGGGCTTCACAGGGTTCGGCCCACAGAGAAAACTTGAGCAACATGTTGCCTCAGATCACAACAACAGGACGTCCCGTCAGCGCCGCGGCTCAGCTCTAGTCCTCGTTACGTACGGGATTATTCCTCTTTGTTTTACAGTGAGCAGTCAAGATAAACAATACTCAATTATCACGTTAAAACAATTACTCGACAAAGAGACTTAGTAGCAACTTGATGGCATTGACCAAATGATCCAGAGGAAAAACTATTATATAATCAGGAATTCATTATAAACTGTATGTTTTGAGAGTTGTATCATATATAATAGGAAGTAGAGAGAAAGCACGGGTAAAAATATTGTGACTTTCTGGTAAAAAACAATGCGTCTTCAAGTTTCGGCGAAGGTGACGGATGACTTTCTTACTTGAGATAATTTTTCTTCCTCTTAGCCTCCTGAAAGCCCCAAAAAAGGCATTGTTACCAATCTTTAATCACGATTGGTTCTCAAAGTCGGTGAAACAATTACATTTTGAATATTTCCAACAGGCTTTCATCAATAAAGCAACAATAAGCTTCCACCATGAAAGTCCACATTGCGCGGTAGGAACCCTGAAAGCATATCTGTACATATCTGTAAACGTTCTTTGTTGTGTGTGTGTGTTTTACACTGGATGAGTAACTATCCACATCTCCCTATCAAGCACTCAGCGTGTCCGCCCGACATCCACTTCTGTTCACTAACCTTTACACCATCACCGTCGCTGTCAACTCACTTTCTCCTCCCTGGGATCCATCAGCATCACCATCACACGCTAACTGTTACTGCGAGCATTAAAGCCGCCGCGGGCGCGTCGCCGGCTGGATGAATCACACTCACCCCTACAGCAATAATGAAGCATTTACCTCAGGGTGCCTCACGGACCCTGAAAGCACGGCAAACGGCAGGAATGTGATGAAACAGTGTCAATCACGCTCGGTGCAGCCATCTGCTCCACAAGAAGACGGACACGTGTTACACGCGGCGCCGCGTGAGGACGCAGGCGCAAAACACCACCTTCTGCTCAATGTGTAATTCAGTGCTTGAACTTTAGAATGAAAAGCTTCTTTAAAAAATAGCTGAAACACATAGCTTGAGTTGGTGGAAGCATTTCATTGGTTTTCCAGTACATCTTTAATTTAGATTTAATCAGTATCAGGAGTTTGTCTCACAAAGAAATTATTCTTGATCACTAAATAGAGATAACACTAAAGCTAAACGCATTGTTTCAAAGACAGACTTGGGAGCTAATGTTGTACAACCTGAACCAGTGAAATCTTTTTGATTAACAATGCAATAAATGTGCGGCGTGACGCGCAAAGCATGACGTCAACTCACCGATCTCATCTGCTGAGTTCCGGTGACGTGCTGCAGAACCTTTTCCAGCTCCTTCTCGATGCGTCCAGCCCAGTGAATCATTCTGGGAAATGTAAGAAAAAGACATTATCAATCTGCATCGCTCCGCATCATCACCTGAGCATGTCATGGCCATTCACGTCTCCTGTCATTCGATGGTGGTGAGTGTGTCAGAAAGAGTCCCTCCCTATCTTTGTGTATCTCTCTCACTCTGTTGTCAAACTGCCATACCACCCCCCCCCCTCCTCCCTCCTTCCCCGGATCCCTATCTGGACGCATCCCTGTCCCGCCCCCCGTGTCTGGGCTAAATCAGCAGCAGCCTCCATCTTGCACGTATCTGGTTGGCAGCGGACGTCTGGGCCGGGATCAGCGGCTCCGCAATAAAACTGCTCAGGTCTGACAGAAATGCACCCTAAGCAGGAGCTGATCTCCGTTAGACGGAGCCAAGTTTGGAATTAAGAGATCAAACAGCTCAAGCTCACCACTGTATATCTCCCAGCAAGCAACAAATGACTTAATGGATCAAGATTTTCATAAGATTATTTCAAAGCAGCAGCAGAGGCTGACCTGCTAACCCGGATACCAGCGGAACAATCCGCTGAAGAAACTCTCCCTAAAAAAAGGAAAAAAAAGTTCAACTTTCAGCAATCAGATGAATACATTCTGTCACATATATTTTGCAGGCCAACCACTGAGTTTATGCCAACCTTTTTACTTTTGTCAGTCTGCAGATATCTAATCACTAGCATCAACAACGCCACAGTCGTTTGTCTTTTAATATGACGACTGAAACAAATGTCATCTTCAAATGTCAGATTTGCTGGAAGACAGGAGTGAAGACAGATTTATTTAATTGCACCAATCTTCCAGGTAGTGACAGTGGCCGCCATAATGAAAAAAAGCTGTAGCGGGCATCATCGGGAGCGAGCGCCTATCGGGAGCGAGCGCCTATCGGCAGCGCTGGGGAGGGACCGCTGACGACGAAAAGGTCACCTCGATACATGAAATGAAAACACGCTTACAGTGAGAGCAGAGCGGAGGAGGACGCATTGATACTAACAGCGAGGGACAATACCTCTGCCCCCGGAGCCCAGCAAACGTCTTACACAACTTCATTAGGCCACACACACACAAGCACCGTGTGTATTTCTTTGTGTGTGTGTGTATGTATAAATAATATATATAAAACTATCACTAACACACACACGCATACACACAGAGTGAAATGCAGTAAGAGGGTCTTATTCCTCATACTACCATAACCAAAAGAACTGGCCAATTTGGCTAAAGCAGCAAAATATTGACCCAATCCAGAGAAGATTTTAGATATGATTATACTTAATTAGGTTAGACTGTTTTCATGCAATATTTAATTTAAACTAGCAGTGGCGGGCCGTGCATTTTCTTGCTGTCTTACTTCAGTTCAATAACCTAATAGTCTCATTACGGTGCCACAGTTACAGGTTATTATCGGTTTTGTGTTAACACCTCATGTACACATAACACAGTGAAATCTAAAGAGAAATCAAATGTTACATGAATCTAAACACCTACAAATACAGTAATTGCAGATACATGAATACGCGCATGATGGGGTGCTGCGTAATTAACGGACAATGCATGTGGCTAAATTAACTTAATGAGTGCAAACTCACAAAAACCCGACACATTTATTTACAACAAAGCGTGACAAAACAATCCATCAAAACCGCAGCGCTAAAACTGCAGATGAAAAAAGTACAAAAGCAGTTCACCGTTTAAAAACAACTAGCTGTCTGTTTTCAGGGCCTGAATATGATTGGATAAAAGCTCTCTTTAAAACAAGCTGCACTGGAAACGGAGCAACAGAGGGAGACAGGAGATGAGGAAATGAGTAAAAAGGCTAATGGGAAAAGAATTAGAATGCATTGTGTATTTATAAAAATATATTTTTTTGTAAAATAGCTATAACACTGTGATTGTGTTCAGGCCAGCAGAGAAGTGTTACGTGGCCCTGACGGCCCTCAGCTGTAAGCTAAGGGTGAACGACACTGCATTGATTCAGTTATAAAGTAATTTCACACAGGTACGTCAATCTGTGTAAATCAAGCTGACAGTTGTTTTAATTAAAGTTACTACAGGGGACTTTCTTTTTGTGTTGATGTTGGCGCTCCATGTGGAAAAAGGCAGTAGTGTTTCTGAGCCCCAGAATCCCCTCAGAAAACCTCTCGTTTCAGTGTGGCAACGGCACACGTTAGCCTTGTCACTCCTCCTTCCTGGTTCTTTGATCCAATTCATTACAAGGATGACATCATGTCTAATCAATAACCCACTTAAATATGCAGGCTGTGTGGTGATTATAATTTCTTGGCCTTCACTAATTTGTATATTTTGATCCTGGGTGTTGGCTGGCGCTCCTGTGTTTTCAGGCTGGGCGGGACGGGACTTTGCTTTTCATCAACCCTAACAGAATGATCCGACCCGGAAATATGGATCCAGCAAACCCAGACGCCCTCCAGGAAGCCCTCAGCTCACAAGGGATTTTGATTGGTAAACATGATCAGCTATTGAGTGGAGTTATGGGAACCTTGCACTCCCTTTCCCAGAGCGTGCAGTGGATAACCGCTCAACTGGCTCAGCTGTCGGCTCCCAGCTCCAGCCCCAGCTCCAGTACGTCTCCACCAGTGAGTAACCCACCTGTCACCTTACTCTCAGATTCTCCCAAGGAACCCTGGGTTCCCAGTCCGGAACCTTACGCTGGTGAACCAGGTTCATGCACCTGATTTTTGTTAAATTGCACTTCAGTTTTTGATCTTCAGCCCGCTAGTTACTCAACTGACAAAGCTAAGATAGCCTTCTGTATTAATTTATTAAGAGGTCCAGTGGGCCACTGCATTGTGGACTAGCCACTCGGCAGTTTTGAGTTCTTTCGCTATTTTTTTCAACGGATCTACCTAAAGTTTTTGATCACCCCGTTAAAGGGCAAGAGGCCATGAGTAGGCTATTTTCGTTAAGACAAGGCTCTGGATCAGTAGCAGACTTTTCCATTGAATTCCGGATTTTGGCTGCAGAATGTGGATGGGATGAGCCAGCACTACTTACCTTGTTCGCCAGGAATCTGTCTGAGGAACTAAATGACGAGCAGGCCTCTCGAGACGACCTCCCTCTCGAGCAATTGATTGCTTTAGCTATCAGGATTGACAATCGTCTCACAGCAAACGAGCCGGGATATTTTGTCTGACTTGACTTTTAGCTGGTGGAGGACCACCGGTGTATTCATGTTCGCTGTGGAGGCTTTCAAAGCCCTTATGACACCAACTATCTGGCCCCTGGTTAGTCGGCACTCTTTCGGCGGCCGTTTGCTGGAAATATGTCATGAAGGAGGACACAGCAGCTCCTGATGCTGCAACCACCAGGAAATACGTCATGAAGGAGGACACGGCAGCTCCTGATGCTGCAACCACCAGGAACGGTGAGATGACCGCTTCCCTGAATCACTCCAGAAGCAGGCAGGTCGGTGATGGTGGAGCTGTCCTCCATCATTCCAGAGGTAATACGGTCACTCGTTTCTCAATTCAAAGTCCGACTACTCACCCAGGCTGCTTCAAAAGTAAGAGCTGTATGTTAGACCAGAGAAATGTGAGTTCCACGCCCCCCTCCGTCCTTGGCTAGATCATCGCTCAAAGCCAGCTGGAGCCAGACCCTGTCAAAATAACAGCCGTCGCCGACTGGCCGCCTCCCGACAACCGCAAGGAACTACAACGTTTCCTGGGCTTTGCCAATTTCTACCGCCGCTTCATCAGGGATTACAATACAGTAGCCGCCCCCCTTACCAGTCTTACCTCCACCAAGATCACCTTCAAATGGACCCCTGAGTCTGACCGCGCATTGTCCAAGCTCAAGTCTCTGTTCACGAGTGCTCCCATCCTTAAGCATCCAGATCCTTCCCTCCAGTTTGTGGTGGAGGTTGACGCCTCTGACACCGTGGGAGCGGTGCTGTCGCAACGAGATCCCCTCACTCAGAAGCTGCATCCTTGTGCCTTCTTTTCCCGTCGACTCAGTCCAGCCGAAAGAAATTATGACGTGGGTAACCGCAAGTTGCTGGCAGTAGTTCTGGCTCTTCAGGAGTGGAGGCACTGGCTTAAAGGCTGTCAGCAAGCGTTTCTTATATGGACTGTGAACAAGAACCTTGCTTACCTCCGCTCTGCTCGCCGGCTCAATCCCCGTCAAGCCCGCTGGTCGCTGTTCCTCAGCAGGTTCAATTACACCTTGTCCTATCGTCCCAGAGGCCGTAATGGGAAACCGGACTCTCTCTCACGCATCTACTCACCCTCCAGTCCCCAGAATACAGATCCCATCATTCCCTCCACCTGTGTGGTGGGGCAGCATCGTGGGAGATCGAGTCGGTGGTTAAGGAGGCCCAGAAGGACGTTCCGGATCCTGCCGGTGGTCCTCCTACTCGTTTGTTCGTCCCTCCTGCAGTCCAGTCACAGGTCCTTCAGTGGGGACATTCTGCTGCTCACATTCAAATTGACGTGTCATCCAGGAGCCCACCCTACCCTCATCTTTCTCCGCCACCGCTTCTGGTGGCCGAGAATGGCGAAGGATGTTTCGTGAGTTCGTGGCTGCCTGCTCTGTCTGTGCCAGGAGTAAAGCTTCCCATCGGCCTCCTGCTGGTCTGCTGTGTCCTTTACCCATCCCAAGCCGCCCTTGGTCACATGTTGCCGTGGATTTCGTCACCGGGTTACCCCCATCCAAAGGGAACAGTCATACCATCATTGATCGTTTCTCCAAGACTGTGCATTATGTTCCCCTCCCGAAATTACCCTCTGCCTTGGAAACTGCTGACCTTCTGACCAATCATGTGTTTAAGCTCCACGGGATTCCTATAGATATCGTGTCTGACTGCAGTTTGCTTCCCGTGTGTGGAGCGCTCTCTGTAAGGCCGTGGGCGCAGCAGCCAGTCTCTGCTCTGGCTATCATCCCGGACAAACGGCCAGACAGAGCGGGCTAATCAGGATCTGGAAGCAGCACTACGCTGTATGACCGCTCGTCACCCTGTCTCCTGGAGCTCCTTCCTGCCCTGGATTGAGTACGCACACAACTCCCTCTCTTGCTCCGCTACAGGTATGTCCCCATTCGTGGCTTGTTACGGTTTCCCAAGCCCAAGAGGAGGAGATGGCAGTTTCTTCTGTAGACGAGCATCTCCGGAGGGTTCGGGAGGTTTTGAGGAATGTGAAGGCGGCACTCACTCGCTCCACCGAAAACAACAAGCGGCTGGCAGATCGGCATTGCTCCCCTGGCCCTGAGTATGAGGTCGGGCAGAAGGTGTGGCTTTCTTCCCGGGACCTTCCACTTCAAACTGAGTCACGTAAGCTGGCATCCCGTTATGTGGGGCCTTCACCATTTCCAGAATAATAAACGCTTCCTCTGTCCGTCTAATCCTCCCGGATTCGATGAAGATACATCCCGCATTCCATGTTTCCCTCCTTAAGCCTGTCTCCACCAGGGACCTCAGCCCTCCGGCCGTTCCCCCTCCACCCCCCCGGCTCATCGATGATCACCCCGCGTATACGGTTTCCAGGATACTGGACGTCAGGCCCTGAGTACCGGGTTTTCAGTACCTGGTTGATTGGGAGGGATATGCTCCTGAGGAGCGCTCCTGGATCTCCCGCCGTTTGATCCTGGACCCGACGCGCTTCCGGGATTTTTATAAGGCTAACCCTGGCAGACACCATGAGGCGTCCGTTGAGAGGGGGGTACTATGGTGACTATGATTTCTTGGCCTTCACTAATTTTTATATTTTGATCCTGGATGTTGGCTGGCGCTCCTGTGCTTTCAGGCTGGGCGGGACGGCCGAGAAGAGTGCTCTCACCACCCTCACCTGTGGCCAATCACCAATCTGGCACGAGTTAAAGCCTGCTGTCTCCGGTGTCTCCGGTTTTGCTTTTGGATCCAGTCCTCATCAACCCTAACAGGCTGATATGAATTAGTTACATCACACAGAGCGACAAAGGTTGGGGCCTTGACACAACTGACATGCATCGGGCGAGATCACATGAAGTTTACATTCAAACATTCACTTTTATAAAATGCTGTATGATAACTTGGGATGTGATTTTTATGGACAAATTGCAAATCAAAGGAGTCATTTCACAGTCTCAAATGTGCAGAGCCCTCAATTCAGTAACAACTACAGAGATATGAGGCTTGTATGGTAAATGATACGCACGTTTGAGGCTTAATCTTCAATGAATGCTGGGAGACCCTCTGTCGACAACGCTGTGATCTCTCTTAAAAACAGAAGTTGTCACCACATGAAAGCAGACCAATGCTATCTGATCCTTTGTAGTCTAATGTACTATATTATCTTTGCTGTTTGGCGCCTGTATTTTTACAATTTTCTGTAAATTAGGATAAAAGTAGCAAAACATTGAGGGAAAATGTGATAGAAGGAGTTTGGGAGGACGACCTGTGTATCAGCCACACACACTGGCCATATTTGTTTTGCTGCAAAGGATCTTGTCATTCCACGTGCATCTTTACAAGCAAAAGGTGGACTATTTTTTGCATTTTACATTCCTGAAGAAGACAAATAACGGTTACAGAAAAACAGGCTTCCTACAGATAAATGAGAAATGCAGAAATTATTCCCCGCATTCAAACACATTCTAGCTACACATACATACACACACACACACACACAGAAATAAAAAAAAATAAAGCGAGGCGTTTCCGAAGCAACATGTGCACTTTCTCAGCCCTGCTCTAAAAAGGGACTTTATTTTAAAATGCCCTTATGTATGGACACGCGTGCAAAGCCTTCAAACTCACACATGCTTCAACTAGGGTGTGTGTGTGTGTGTGTGTGTGTGTGCGTGTCAGGCCTATACACCAGATGGACGGCCTCAGACACTCCCCATACACTAAACTAGATAAGTGACTAATTCTGGCCCGTAGCACATCCTGTGGGTGACACAATACCCAGTTTTTAAAACCCAAGAGATGCCTGAAAATAACGCAGGGTGCGTATCGTACCAGACCCGTTACCTTACTGGACTATTTCTCTTTTCTAATGAGGCTCACATTCTTATATCATCATAGAGACTGTATGTGTTGGTCCAACAGATTTCTTGTCTGAATTAAATTCAGTAATTCATTTGAATTTGATCACTAAACCATACTTGTCATTGCCTTGTGGTACTCAAGTGATCGAATCGATGATGCAGCAAATTATCCTTTAAAGTCAATCAACAATCTGGGCCTTTTATATAAGGTGAGTGATTCTCCTTTGAAAGTCACCTTGGCCAACGGGAATAACAAAGAGATCCCCCAGTGGAAGAATCAGGGAGGAATCACTCCGTTTCTGTGAAGCTGACTGACTAAACATCATCGCGACGGACTGCAGCCCGTTCACATCGGATCAACACGTCATCCAACGCTCGAGTTCTTCAGTGACTTTAAAAAAGCATCATCAAACGAAGCAAGGTTCACTTAAAAAATGAGAAAAAAATAGGGAAAACATTGTCCTGAGAGTCTGTCTCGGTGTGCCATTCAAGGTGAAATTATTACGTTGTTCGATTTTTGGAGAAATTTTTTTTCCAACAGGTGTACCCCGAAAAAGTCCCAAAACAGTTTGGCACAGCTGGATGCTCGGCTTCACGCGCTCACACTTTAATACTGCCTTCAACTATACGTGCTAATAATCAATACAATTATTTCTGCAAGAAGAAAGACGTTTAGTTTCTGATCACCGCAAACGCGACCCAACATTTACCCCCCCAATCAGAGTCCACAACTAGTTGTGGAGTTCTGGGAGACACGAGCAGGTGTCTCCGGGTGCAGGTTGGCGGAGTGGGTTTGTCTCTGACAGAAGCACCAGCGCGTGTCCCGCTGTGGGACGGGGGGGGGGGGGGATTATTGGTGCGCGTGTAGTATCCAGTGGAGGACTTTTAAGAGCAGCCTCGTCTTCAGCCTCAGCATCGCCAACCCATTCGTGCGTAAATTGGATATTCCCTCCAGTGACGCGACGGCAAAACAACACATTTGTTTTTATTTTTGAGGATGTTCTAGTAAAGATTCTTACTCCGCCTCGCTTATTCGCCGGGGGGGGGGGTCATTCAGTGTTGAAATAGAATAGGACTTTCGTTATTCAATGCCGCACATGCCTACAAACAACACCGCAGGTCTCCGTGAGAGCGCGAGGCATGACATGGCATCACAGACGGAAACTGCGTCTCCTGTGTCTCTACATCAGGCACCAAGGTAACACGGCGCTGCATGTGCATGCGCGGGGGGGGCACCTGTCCTAGTTCCGCGCTCCGCATCCCGGTTTATTCCCCCCCTCCACAGATAAAACAGCCCCACGGTGCAGGGTACTTACGTGTAGTGCTGAGGGAAGAGGTGGGTCCCGTCCGTCGGCGCGGAGACGCATAAGAGAAGTACAGTTTGGACTGCGAGGAGGCAGAAGACACCGTGCGATGGCGCGCAGAACGCCATTTTCCATTAAATATTCAAGAAACTGGGTTAAATAAGAGGAGGACCGGAAGGAGCGTCCCTCTCAACTGAGCTAAGAATAACCGAGCTCCGGAGAAAGTGTGTTCGAAGGGCGGCGCTGGTCGGCGGGGGCTTCTGCACACTTCAGCCCCGGCGGTGAGGTCTCAATCAGAGACGGAGGACTGGCAGCTGAGGACACGGGAGACCGGGATCAGGACGATGCTCCGCCGCCGCCGCTGCTGCTGCTGCTGCTGCTGATGATGATGATGATGTGCCAGCTTGCCTGTTTGCGCACTCGCTGTCCTTCCTCCCTCTCCGCCGCCGCACATTTGCTCCTTTTCTCTCCCACTCTCTCCAATGTTACAGCAGTGCAGAGTGAAGCTCGCCACCGCGGGGACATAATCCCCCCATTCCGGTTTTCACAATAAAAACAGTCAAACGATGTGACGTATTGAGGGCAATAGGGTTTGAGGTGAAGGGGGGGGGGCAGTATGCCACAGTTTTGTTCTCATTAAAGGGCTTTCACGAGAGCACAGAGGTACAGATAATTGCCATGCCTTGAGTAGTGCAGTTGTTTAGCGAATATAGAATATTTATTAGTATAATATAATATGATGCCTGCCCTTCTAAAACGTGTCGTTCTTTTGCGCACAGATCTGTCATAACATTTCTTCAAGGACTTTATTTTCTTTCCTGGGGTTTTATTTTGAAGGTTGAATCACTCGACTTCCTGTGTTTAAACAGCCTGTGTGTGCCACTCGCCTCAGCTGATGACACAAGCCGTTCAAACACGCGATTCCTGCGCGAGGGGCGCGCGTCGGGCCCTTCTGCTCTCCATCCTCCTCGCGCGCTGCGTCCTCCTCACGCTCGGAATTATGAGCCGGAATCAAGACTTTATATTCTGATAATTAGAGGCAGGACTCCGGGAGGGGGAGGAGGGGGGGTGTATCAATTGGAGTGTAAACATGCAGCAATCACCTCGGGGCTCCTCTCAAATTGCGTTTGTTCTACTTATCCGCGCAGCTAGTCCAGTGGATGAACATCTAAATGAACGCAAGGAGATCTGATACCCTGTAAGCTTGTTAATAAGGTATTTCTCAGCTAAGCGAGTCGTCCTCTGGACAAGTTCATTTTAACGCTAAATAAGGAGAAGAGACGCACTGAGACCTCAGAGTAAATCTAATTCTGCATGAAGTTACCCTGCGGAGGAGTGAATATCTCCTTCTATCAGCCCTGTGCGTGAGTGTGTGTATGTGTGTGCGTGCGTGTGAGAGCACTTGTCATATTACCTTTCCCTGCACTGCTGTTTGTTCTCTGATCGCCATATTCCAACTGGAGGGAACAGGAGGGCTGACACATTTGCACCGAAAAACAAAACACATTTTCTGGTTCCTCCATGCGTGTTTTCCGGCCCCACCGGCCTTTGCCCCGGGTTAAATTGGGGGGGGGGCTAAAATCCCGGTCCCCCCCCCCCCCCCCCCCCCCCCCCAGGTTCATGACACTGCTCAGGCCGTCTTGCATCGCTCAGCTCATTTGCTGGACGCCAGGTGGAGACGGACAGACTCGTGGCGTGGTGTTGTCCTTGGCTGGACAGTCAGCAGGGGGACACACAGGTGCTCTGCTACAGAAAGCCAACAGCACAGCATGTCTGTGCTCCCATACGAGAGGGAAGCCGGGCTGTTCGGGGAGAAAGGACACGCCGCGGGGGCCTCAGGCCTCAGCGGGAGAGCAAAAAACCACCTGATGGCAGGGATGAAAAAGAGCCCCCAGCAGCCCCCCCCCCTGCTCGTGGACGTAGACACCACGGCTCATTCAGTGAGAGCAAAATCATCTGCTTTTATTTACAAGAACTACAAGAGCCTGAGACCTGGAGTCTACGTGTATTATTTCCCCCCCTGCAGAGCAGAATCACCTTATTGATGGCTGTTTGTAATTGAGAGTCCCATACTTCCCATCAGGACAGAAATAATAACAATAAACAGATACTGGTAGAGTGGCTGACTCACACTCAACGTTTCTGCTGACTCACAGCAAGCTCTTATTATGTTCTTCCATTCAAACAAATGGGGCCACAAGAAAGAGAAACATTTTAATTTCATTTTTAAAAACATCAGGCGGTGGAGATAATAGGAGGCCTCTGGCTGACCAAAGAGATGATCGGCAACCAATTTAAGCAATAATTTACTAATAATGCCGTACTGCACGGCCTTGTCCCGCTCACCTTCATCCCTCCAACACCTCAAATGCAAATTACGTCGGCGGTGATGTTTGTCAGCAGAAGAGTGGCAGAGAGAAGAGTTGATTAGCACCCGGGGGGCCTTGGATCTAATTGAACGCGATGCTCATGGAGAATCCACTCTTTATTGGAGCGGGTCGATGAGGCCTGCTAAGGGATCCGCTGGAAAACACACAGATCAATGACCCGAAGCTCCGCTCATCCTCCAAAGGGCGAGAAAGGGCTGACAAGAGGCGGTCCTCATCTGCCCAGGACCTCTCTTATTGGCCGTGCCGTTTCTCCTGAAGAGATGGACCCGCCAATCTGCTATTGATCCAGGGTCGGGGCGAAGGAGACGGGCCTCGCTGGTCTGTGTAAAGATTTGTGGAGACTGCTCCCCCAGACGGAGGTCAAGTAGGTTGGAAGGTAAAACTAATCACTCCTCGTTTCCCTCTTTCTCCGGGGGCCTCGAGGACGCCGCTAGAGGAAAGGCGCCTCCCACACATCCAGACACAGACAAACACACACACACACACACCCCGGCTGCTTATCTTCCTTTTTCTCCGCCGTATCCATCTTTTTCTCCCACAACCTCGTCCTCTGTCTCTTTCTGTGGCCCCCTATGCTGATGTTTTGCTGCGCTGGGGCCGAAAAGTGTGGCTTCACACTCAGTAAAACGCAGTCCAGTCAGCATGCTGAATGCTAAGATTTGATATTTCTGATTAGAGGAGCACCAGACGTCGCATTCACCTCAGACGATAGAGCCCGCTGCCCTTGAGAGAGAGAGAGAGAGAGTCCAGACGCTCTCAGCTTACTTCAATGATCCCCTCAAGTGCTCTCTGTAAAAACAGTTGATGATATACTGTCACTCATTTACCACACGCTTTCTTTCATGGCTGTTTTTCCTCGGAGAAGAGTCGGCGGGCTCTTGCCCTCCACACGGATACATCGTAGAGATCGGCTGAGTGATTCCAGCAATCAAGGTTATCTTCGCTCGGTGTCCTTTTTCAGCTTTCTCTCTGCTCACCTCACAGCTTATCCTCCCATTTAGTTACATCCACTCCACGGAGCAGCCAGATTCAATCTGAATAACACGTTTACATAAATATTTCTATATCAATCGTCGGTATTTGCTTTATTCTGTAAATGACCAACACGACCGCGACGTTTAGCTAATATCGACGACAAAAATATCCCATTCAGACTGCGGTGCTCTGCGGACCTCCTTAGCTGTTAAATAAAAACGTACCCAGCGATGTCGGGCCGCAAGGCACCCTGGGACTTCTTGTGCTGAAATGTCAGAGCGTTTCATCCTGATTGATGATGACTCACTCCGCTCGCTCTTAGTCTGCATGAAAGAACAGCGCCAATTAATGACCGGACCTCCTCGCTTGCAACAGTAAGAAAAACAAACAGATATAAATACAGATGATGTTTGCGACGGAATGTCTACTTTTAAGGCTACGTTGTATCCCCCCCTCACCCCCCCCTGAGAATTCCCCACCCATCCTCCCACACAGTGAAGTGGCTGCACGTGGAGCAGAGACTCAGCAGCACTCGTTGACATGCTCTACTGGAGGCCTAATAGCCCCTGGGTAATGGCCTCTTTGGTCTTCAGGAAATCCTCCCTCGTGCATACATCAAAGCTGGGATTGAGAAGGATAGAGAGTGGGAAATGGAGGGGAGGAAAGAGACATCAGCGCCACACAGGGAGAGGAGAGAGGAGGTGATGTTAAACACACAAACGTAAGCTCTGATAGGAGTTCATTGGTTTCTGATTTTCATGGCGAGGTCAATCCAACACGGTTCAGGCGCGAGGGTTGGATCAGCGTGGCACAACTCTCACTCTTCAAACAGGGTCGGGAATCTAGTTTGCTTTTAGTACCAACTGTTCAGACTTAGTTGAATATTTACTGAAATAAAGCAAAGATATGTCATGAAATCTGTTTTTTTATGTATTAGTATCCTGTGTGTTCACCCCTGGAATATCAGATATAAATTGATATCAAGTCAGATAAATTGATATCGATTTGTTGGTTTGAAGTTGTCAAGCAAAATGAAATTGAATGCTTCCAGATGTATGTTTTTTGTCATAGTAAACTGGATTTTATTGTTTTGGACCAAGCTAGACTTATAAATGTGATCAGGGTCAGAACTGAGGAACCGTGATGGACATTACACTATTCCGGCATATGATTGAGAAATTGAAAAAATAGTATTGAGAAATTGAATAATTCTTTTCCTTGATATAAAAGGAGAAAGTCTGTCCATTTCTTCCACTCTGTGTCCATCTCTCTTCTTCTTCTCTTTGCGTCTCCTCTTTCTGTCTCACTGACACGCAGCATCGGAGAGTTGTCAGCCAGCTGCTATACCAGAAAACCTGTTCCATCGCCGCGCAACCCCCCCCTCCCCACCTCTCTCCACACTGCCCACGAGCCATCTGCTTAGTCTGCATATTGCAGATCTGTCAATGCCATCTAATTGTAATTCACACAAAGGTCTTCATTATGACCCTGACAGTGTTCGCAAAAGTTTTGCCTGGCTCCATATGTCACGTACATAGAAGGAAACCGGCCTTGTAGGACGCTGTGCAAAGCATCTCTCTATTCATGGTCCCTCTCCCTGGGAGTAAATACAGGCAGAGCACTGGTCAAACCATGTTCAGAGAGACCCGTGACCTCTACATGTCCTGCGCCCTGCAGCAGAGCGTGTGAATTCTGCTCTTTGCAATGATTTTATATCTTAAATAAAGACCCAATAATCTTCAACACTCTTGTTATGCCACTAGCAATCACGAGATGGAACAAGGCTATCTGGAACTGATTGAATTCAGGTAAAAGAGAGAAGCAGGAGCAATTCAAGCTGCTCCAAAGTCGCAGGCCAACATGAAAAATAAATTGCCCTTCAATGCGTTGTGCAGTGAGTGAAGGGTTAGGTGTCACGGAACAGATCATTTTAGAGAGGCAAAACCAACAGGCCTCGTGGCTCGACGAGGAGCGCGGGTGGTCCCGTCTGAACGCGCTCTACCCCTCTTCTCCTGCCAATGCGGAGTGAGGAGTGCGGAGTCGCTTGCCCGCCCTGCCGTCACTTTAAAGCGCATCTTAATTGGCATTAAAACTGGCGATAAGGGCTTAATGAAG